GAATGACTTGAGTGTTAATCACATCATGTTTTCAGTTTGAATATAAAATATATAAATTATTTAAAAAACAAACAAGTTGATCCAGCTGGAGCGCAGGCTGAGAATAGCGTTGTCATGACTGGATCACGACACTATCATCAGTCATGCCCTCTCGTACCTTACGCACACCACGCCCACTTAGACATCACATCAAACTGTCAGCCGGAGGGGTACCGAGGGTCATCGCTTTCGGCTTCAAGAATTATTCAAAAGATGGCAAAAGACGAACAGCGCTTTGCAAGACATGCAACATTAATATTGCGGGCAGCCAGACGACAACCTCAAATTTCGTCCGTCATTTGAAGAGCCATTTTGCCCAGTAAGTGCTTGTCAATTTGTTAATGTTATCTGGTTAGTTGGTAGTTAGCTAATGTAATAATAGCTAAAGTAGCCATAACCCTTTCACAAGTAAGTTTAAACTATTCTAACTGATCCCCCAGCGTGAGTTTTTCTAGGCGACCGTTATTTAGAACCTGTCACTCACTTTAATGTTTCCATGGTGACGCGTCATTGCTTGTCACGTGACACAGCGCAACCATAACACAGCGCTGAATGAATGATGATCTGCTTTTATGTCATTTTTCCTGTTTTATTCAAAATGTTCACAAATGTATTAGCTATAACATGAAACACTGATATTCCGATTGTCAAATATGTGGAAGTGGATGTGTTTTGTTGTTTAAATGCCTATATAACATCGCATAGTTGAGCTGTATGTGCGAATGGGCGGCGCCATGTTAGTTTACAACACGTCAATTTCTCAACTTCTCACAAAATACATTAAAGTAAGTGACCGGTGAACTGGGAGAAGAATAGTGTAAAATGTAAAGCCATTTACACAATGTGTATCGGATATGAATAAAACCTGTCGTCTTATTATAATGGAAAGGATTATTACTGACGCTTCCATAGACATCAGTGTGTATTTTTTTTTTTTGCTAGTAGGCCTACTTATGTGTATTTAAATGTCTGAAACCTAAAATAAAAATTATGTGGTTGAAAACACTGATCAGTTGTGATGTATGACAGCACTGAGAGCGTATGTCTCTGGCTCAGTGCCAGCCAACGCACGTTTGAATTCATTGATATATACACGAAGCAGAATAGTGGGTCATATGTCTAATGCTTTTTGAAAACTTAAGGCTTTCTTCTTCATAAAAGTAGTCGGACATCATCACATTTTTGTATACATTTTTATTTCTTTAAATTAGTAAGCTACAGGATACCGTCTTTCAAAACATGACCTGCGCGAAAGAGAAAAGTGAATGAATGTGTCATTATACCCAAATGCACATCCGAATGCACCTCTGTTTATTTCAAACCAAACTGGTTTGAAAAGATCAAATTCTGCAGGTAAGATCAAAATTCTGCAGGTAAATTTACAATAATAAGGTGACTTGACTTGACCTACTACAGGACTTGACTTGAATTGACTTGACATAGCCTGTGACTTGACTTGACTTGACTTGACTTGCCCAGGAAAAAAAATACTTGGGACTTACTTGAGACTTGAAGGTTAAGACTTGAGACTTACTTGAGACTTGCACATGTGTGACTTGGTCCCATCTCTGTTAATTACAAATGTCTCACCACACGAGTGGTGCACCTGGACCTCTTAGACAGCATCCACATATAGCGCCTAAAAACGCGTAGAAAACGCTAGGCGCGTTCTCCTTTTTCCAAACCGCTAGGGCGGTTGCGCTCCGGCGGTGTCTGTCGTTGCTGTGGTTGGTTCTTGTCACGTGACCTACGGTGCGCTTGTGGCATTCTGAAAAGTTGAGATGTTTTTATCTCGATGCGGCGCGGACGCGCTTGGAAAAAACGAGCGCGCCGCTTCCATTATGAGCGCGCATACCGCACGCCTACATTTGAATTAACAAACTTGAGCGCGCAAAAGACGTGATATGTGAACAGGCCCTTACACAGCTTGGATTCATACTCGTTTCTAATGAGCCTCAGGAGATTCATCAACCCCTAGAAGTACGCCAGCTGAACTCTACTTGGATCAGGGCACAAATTTCAAGACATGAGAGAAAGAACTTCGTGAGACATTTTAATGTTCTATCCTCAGAGCTTCAACAACTTCTAGAAAAGCAGAAGATTGCCTTCCACTTCAACCCCCTGGCAGCGCCCCATTTCGGTGTAGCATTGGAGCGAGAGTAGCCTGGGAAAACCCAGACAACTTCCGGCAAATTTAGATTTGCTCTGAAAGTTAGTCTGGCAAAGAGCTCATTCAAGCCCATTTCCAATCCGTCGAAATCGAGGCACCAATCAGAAACGTTGGGGCGGGCTTTACACGATGACGACAGCTCTGGGATTTTGAAGCATATTTTGTAGCCTACATTACAAAGATGGATGCCGCCGTCGAACATCACTCGTTCGAATCAGCTATCGCGTCTGTTTTAATCGATTTGAACGTTTCCTTTTTGTTAAAAACCGAGCAAAGAACAACACTCGGAGAGATATTTCTCCGCCGCTCTGCATACGTCATCTCCTTCATCGCTCTAATTGGTTTTAGGTCTATCCGCGACGTCCGTTGGTGATGCCCCTCTGGAAATGATTTGTCTATGACGCTTTGCCAGACCATAACTCAGTTACAACTGAGAATGGTCTGGTTTTAACCAGGCTATAGCGAGAGATAAGATCGGTCAAATCTGCTTTGTATACAGTTATATGAGCTCAGCCGGTCTCTGTAGAAGTACTCCGTACCGTCTTGTTGGAAGTGGAGGCGATACTGAACACAAAGCCACTGGGATATACCTCAGCCAACATAGCGGATCTGGATGCAATCACTCCGAACATCCTCTTGATGGGGTGGCTGGATGGTGCTTTGCCCCAGGTGGTATACAAAAAGAGTAAAGGCTTGATCAGGAGAAGATGGAGGCACTGTCAGGTCTTGGCAGACCACTTCTGGTCTAGGTTTATAAGGTACTACTTGCCCACCCTGCAGCCTCGACAGAAGTGGCATACCACCACATGGATCTTGCGGTCAACTCTGTTGTTCTGATGATGGACCCGCAGCTTCCCAGGGCTCTTTGGCCCGTCGGCAGAGTGACTAAGGTACATCAGAGCGCTGATGGTCGTGTAAGGTCAGCAGATGTCCGGATCAAGGACAAAGTCTACACCAGACCAGTTGCCAGTCTCATTGCCCTCCCAGCTATCCCAGATTCATAGGGGGAAACGGATTCCGTCATAGTGCCTAAGGAAGAGGCTGAGCAGTGAGCCTTTCTCAGGAGCAAATTGCATGGAATTTGGGGGCGGCTGTGTGAAAGTCTCACTAATGACACTGATTTATGACGTGGATGTATACAAGCGCTCTCTTCCCGATCGTGGGGACTCTTATTTTGGTGGAACACAGCTCATTCGGTGGGGTGCTTCATAGCGGTGTGCACGCGCGATCCACTCTGGCATCAGCCGTTATCTTCAGTGAGAACGAGCTGTGAAATTCCCTTACTAAATGCAGTTATATAATCATCGTTATTAGGGGTGTGCAAAAAAATCGATTCACGTTTGAATCGCGATTCAATCTTTACCGATTCAGAATCGATTCATAGAATTCCAAAAATCGATTCATTTTTTTTTTTTTTTAATGGCGTGCACGGGCGGAGTGGCAATCGGGTGAGTCGGGACTTTTACCGGTGGTTCGGTAGTGTTTCGAGGCTGCGAGGGCTGGTCTGATAAATAGTTACATTGCAAGTTCTTGCCGCCCGCTGGTCAAACTGTGCAGCCTCTCTCTGCTCAACCCGGAAATAAATGCATCGATCCGCAGATTATGTTTGAGTTCTTAATGGTCTGTAGATCTTTTGCCAAGCGTGTCAGAGGTTACGGGTTCTAAACCGCACTCGTATAGTTTTTTCTCTCTCTCATCAAAACCGAATATGTTCATCACGTTTGTGTGCATTTTATTTTGAGATTTCACCGGAACCACAACGGCGATATGAAGCGCGCGTCCGAGTGAAGACTGCGCGAGCCACAGAGAACACTGTATCCATGACACATAGCAGCGGCAACGAGCGCTCAGCTTGATTTCAAAAACAACAGATCTCTTATTTAATAGCGAACTAAATGAATGCTCTGCTAGTTAACTGGAGATACCCGCAAATTACGCCTATGAACGACTTCACTGGATCTAAACAAATCAATCTAACCATAGATGTTACCAGTAGCGGTGGCTTTTTAAAATCTATTTAAAATTATTTCGCAAGGGTTCCATGACATTAGTATATTTTTAGGAAGTTCAATGTGCCCAGTCGAGTTCACATTTCAACAGTCAGCCTGGTAGCTGAAGTACTCCTTAAACCACATTTAGCATAATTGTTTGTTTGATCTGACTACAGCACTTTAAAGCTAAATGTAAAAGCTTTTTATTTAATTTTTATTTTAAACTTGAATTAAATGTATTTGAAAGCTGGCCAAAGCTTGGCACTTTGCACTTTTTAGTTGCAAAAGTTTTTATTTTTGTATGAAGACATAAAGTAATATCAAACTACATTTAATTTGTTGTGTTTTTTTTTCTTTTAAATTGTGTCTACTGCAATCAATCACATAGGAATTTATATACTGCGAATCGTTTTTTGAATCGAGAATCGTTTTTGAATCGAAAATCGATTTTGAATCGAATCTTGAGACAAAAAATCGGTATCGAATCGTGACATTTTCTGAATCGTGCACCCCTAATCGTTATGTTCCTTTGAGTGTTTAAAGTTGTGTGTGTCCAGAGAGAAAGTGAGTATTGCAAGTTTCACTATGTTATTCGAGTTGAGTTGATTTGTTGATTACTGCATAGAGATGTTAAAAGAGTGATGACACAAAATGGATGCTAATGTGAAGTATAGCCAGACGCGTCACCAGACCTCAGTCTTTAGGGGGGCATATGAAATGCATGGGAGGGCGCAATTATTATTAGCCTACAGTACTTATATTTATAATAATCTCTCTCTGTCCTAGCGTGTATCCCATATTTATATAGGGTCCGCTTGCTTGCATGCTTTTCGCCACTTGGCTCGATCCAGGGCATCTTCAGTGGTGATATTTACTGCGCGCATATCTTCCGCCAGACGATCGAGCCACCGCTTTTTCTGCCGGCCACGCGGTCGTTGTCCGGGTGGTGATAGATTATAGGCCGTTTTCACCGTTGTCTCATCTCCACTTCTGATGACATGGCCATACCAGCAGAGTCGGGCTTCACGCATCTTTTGGACTATGGGCACCACGCCCATGCGCCTTCGGACATCTTCATTCATGACGCGGTCGAATCGCGTGAGGCCGAGGGACCAGCGGAGCATCTTCATCTCCATAACATGGAGGGACTGCTCATGTTTGATGGTGGCTGGCCAACATTCGGAACCGTACAACGCGACCGGACGTACAACGGTTTTATAAATCTTGCCCTTGAGTGATATGGGCATTCGACGGTCACAGAGAATGCCTGTGACTTGTCTCCATTTAAGCCATGCTGTGTTGACTCGGGCTCGGGCGTCGGGAAGAGAGTCCCCGTCACTCCGTATTAGAGAACCAAGATATTTAAATTCGGTGACTTTGTTTAATGGCTGCCCTCCAACTCTGATTGTCCCGTCGGTTTGGGGTCCGCACTCCATATACTCGGTCTTTTTGATGTTAAGGCGCAGTCCGTGTGCGTCTAACCGCTCATTCCAGTCTTGCACTTGACGTTCAAGCCCCCAACGGGTTTTGTCAGCTTGGAAGTTGTCGTCGGCGAATAGAAGTGACCACTTATATTTATAATAATCGTATACTCTATTCGCTCAGCACGTAATCATCACGTTAAACATAACCAACAGCAATATTTTCAGGTAGCCTATAGCCTACACCACATTACATAGAAGCAATGTTATGAATATCCATAAAACACTTGACTATACAACATATTAGATGTAACACCAGAAGCATCTCTCCAACATTGCATTTTAAAGCAGTCAACAGAGGCATATGCATTGCCATGAGACACACACACACACGCATGCACATACTCAAGCACAGAGACTTTGAACCTACCAGTACTTTGAGTGGAGGCAGCGCTGTCCTCTCTCCAGTCCTTCCTGTCAGTACAGTCAGGAGGCGCTATTTCTCGGAGCAGAACCTCCTCATCAAAGTATCCTTCCACTCGGAACTTGTGAAGTGAGGTCCTTTTCAAAAGAAAGCTGATTCAGCTGGGCCTTGCGTCTGTGCAGCATACTGCGCTGATGCTCTGAGAAGATCCTTTTGAGCGTGGAAAATGAGGGGCAAGAGTGTAGGCTGTGAGAACAGTCGGCATAGCCTGGAGTGCACAGTTGAATGTGCTGAGGATGTTGGCTATTGTCAATTTTCCATCTTCGGGGGGAACCAGGGTGTCAGCCATTTTCTTCACCAGGAACTCACAAGCCACAGTATATTCAGATTTAACCACATCAGTTCCAGCTAATACCAGAAGAGGGGTTACCTTTGATGGGTCCAGAAAATTATCCTCGGCCTCTGGGTTCAAAGCAACCAGTGCGCCAATTAGCTCGCTACTGCGCTCTAAAAAACGTGCATTCATCTCTCCTTGCTTTCAAAAATGCACGGTAACTGTTGAGCGGCAACACTGACGTAGGCTACATCACATACGTAGCCTAACTTTCTTTTTAGTAAGGCCGTGATAGGCTGTTGCAGTGTAGATTCCCATCAATCAAACAAAATCACACCATTGTTTCTTTATATTTTTAATGTTTTAATGATAAATAATGCAACATTAAAGTCCCTGTAAAGGAAATTCTAAAAATAAATTCTAAACATATTATAAATAAAAAGAAATGTATTGCTAAAACATGTTACAAAAACTGTGAACTGTGAAGTACTGAATTGTGGAGTTAGACCGTTAAATAGTTTTTCACCATTGCTGCGTTCCGGATTTTTTTGGGCGGGGCTAAAACAGGGGCTCGATGACGCACTGGAGCTCCTGAGCTCCTGGACACGCCCCTACTTGATGACACACTCTAGCCACTGAGGCTGGCCCCTCCCCTAACAATATAAATAGAGCACATTCACATCAGTTTGCCACTCAGTCGCGAGTTACCGTCAGTACTATTAGTTACTACAGCCTACAGTTTGCTAGCTAGCTATGCCTTCGTCACGGAAATGCGTACTACCTGGATGTGATCACGTACAAAACAGATTGGTGTCCTTATTTAAATTTCCGAAAAACGATCACATCAAGAAGAGGTGGATTCATTTTGTGAAGAGCCACCTTGATGTAGAGCTGAGGATCACCGCCAAAACCCGCCTCTGTAGTGATCATTTTACACAGGATAGTTTTATAAACTTTTGTCGGAGACAACTGGGAATTCACTGATAATCCACTGTGAATGGGGCCGAACCGACTGTCTCCCGCCTCGGTCTTCGTCCTGTCCCGAAAGCAGTATCACCTAATATCACCGTCGGCAGCTTTTTTGACAAGCATTTTTGGGTGCGGGCCCGGCCCCCTATGGCCCGCCCATAGGGACGGGTGTGAGTATAGCAGTATTTGATTTCTCATCTAGTACAGTGTAATCATGTAAGCTGTGTATTGGTTTCATGTTCTTCTGTATTTAAAGGCAACATTGTGTTGATGTTTGGGGGAAGCCAGTAGTTTTAATGCCATTTATGTTGTTATGAGTGTGATTGTGATAAGAAAGAAGCATTGTTTGTTAGAGCGTATCCTTTATTTGTTTGTTACAGACCACACACATATGCTGACACACTTCTAAGGACATAAAGCACAAAACAATACCACTTAGCGCCAGTATCTTTGATATGCACAGAGAGCACTGTTTAATTCAACCTGATATGATCTGGCTCCCCCTCTGCATATGCTTGTACAAATAAATATGTTGAACTGGATTCCTTCTCCGTCTTCGGTGTTTCTAACCGGCACACCCGGACCAGCTCTACCTCATTAGCAACAGCTAGCACCTTACAGTCCTTATCCCCTCAGCAACAATCAGCATAGTTCAGTGAGCTATTGTTTCCAGAAACTATAGTTCCAACGGACATTCGCAAACAGCGTCGCAAAGTTGTGTGGTTGTAACGGCAGATCTCGAGCTGTGGTTAGAAGCATATAGTTTCTTGTTTGCGTGACATGTGGACTCCATACAGTATATCCTGCTCTGTTTACAGGTTGGCTAACGTGGGCTTGAGCTTCTCGTTACACTGCCACCTACAGGTTTGGCCTGCTCTTGACAGCATATGCACAGATTCGTGTAAACGAACACTTTTCTGAAAACTGACAGGTGTGCACAATGTTATTTTTGAAAACGGAGAGGGGTAAAATGTCAGTTTAAGAAAATAGCCATCCACGTGTAAACGTAGCCTGAGAAATCTATGTATGAAGAATTGGTCTTGAATAGACATATGATCAATACCACAACATATGTTCAAACAAGAAAACAAACAAGGAAACTAACTGAAACTTAAAAAACTGAACTAAACTCATACCAAACCCACCCACAAACTGAAACAAAACCAGAATACCCAGGTTAGGAAAGCCCAATATTATTGGCACTTATTAATGGCATGTATTAAAACCAGCATGCATGCATAAGGATAACATTTGTAGAGCAAATCAGTAAAATCACAAGTTCATGCCATGATGAGACTTAAAGGGCACCTAATTATGGAAAATTCACATTTACATGGTGTTTGAACATAAATGTGTGTTGCCAGTGTGTGTACACAACCACCCTATAATGATAAAAATCCATCCAGTGTATTTTTTTAAAAATTTCTATAAATCATTAACCTGACACCGCCAGATGGATTTGCTCCGCATATCCATCTGGAAACCTTCCGTTGAAGTAGTTTTGGTAAGGGGCGAAAATACTGGTTAGCTGATTGGCCTATGTTGGTGATAGACGGGCCAAATCAACCAATCAGATCAACGAAGCATATGACGTACTAACAGAGCGTATCTTTTCCTCTGAGAAAAGCCTCCAGAGCAGTGTTTTGCTCTTCTTTCAGTGAAGAAATACTCTGTAATTCCGATAAAACTTGCTCGATAGCCACGCTGATGCTAGTTTCATCCGCTGAAGCCGACATGTTCTTTAGACTGAACTGACGCGCTTCTCGTTGCGTCACACCTCAACCCGCCTCAAAGCCAACGCTGATTGGACGTTCGTTTGGTGAACTGCTCCCAAATTTTCTTTAACGGAAAGTATCCAGACTGATCTGCGAGTGAAACCTTGAAAGCTCGCGAGATCAGGATGGTCTCACGAGGCTAATAAATCATAAGCACAGTCTTAGAACAAGCCGTTTGGCGATTCTGGGCAAAGTGACATCACACGGCGCGATTTTGCTCATCCCCAAAATATGGCAATTCTAACATGCTGCAAAAAATTACCTGTGGGGTATTTTTAAGCTGAAACTTCACATACAAACTCTGGGGACATCAGATACTTATTTTACATCTTGTAAAAAGGGGCATAATAGGTATTTTAAAAAATACATTTTTTCATAAGCTTACAAATGTACATTTATTCTAGAATTTTCTTTAAATGCTTAAATGGTTTTCTGAAAATGCTTACGTGTGTAAGACTAGGAAGGTTAATGCATTAAGACATCCCTCACAAGTGTAGCTGTTTATGCTTGTGCTCTGAAATAGCTAAACTGATCCTGAAGAGCAACAGAGAGATCAAATGAACCCAATTCAAGTTTGCTTCTAGTACAATTTATTCAGGTTGGTATAAACCAGGGGTTCTCAAACCTAAAGAAATAGTTCACCCACATGAATGGCCTGGTATCATTCATTCACCCTCATGTTCACAAGCTGTATGATTTTTCTTCTGTGGAACAAAGATATTTTGGGAGAAAAATATTTGGTTCCAAAGAATAAATAACGGCATGCAGGTTTAAAATGACATGACGGTGAGTAAGTGATAAGATTTTCTTTTTTAGTTGGACTATCCCTTTAAGACAACTAGGCAAGGAAAGGCAAGGCAAGTTGGTAATTCAAAGTGCTTTAATTAGAATTCATTAAAATAATCAAAAGAAATAAGAATAATTTAAACAGTTTAGAATAAAAAGGAAAGAAAATACAGTGCAAAGAGTCGGACGAACGGTGTCACAGTGCTCATTCATTAGATGCACAGCTAAACAGATGTGTTTTGAGTCTGAATTTGAATGTGACTACTGTAGGAGCACATCTGGTCTCTTCTGGAAGCTCTTCAACAGCAAATCCAACTGTTGACTTCATCAATGCATTTGCACAGGGACTCAATGGGGCTGTAGTTGTTAGGCGATATAGTATCTGTGTGTCGTCTGCATAGCTGTGGTAAGCAATTTGGTTCTTTCTCATTATTTGTTTCATTTGGGAGCAAATACAGGTTGAATAGGAGTGGCGCAAGAATTGAGCCTTGAGGGACTCCGCAAGTCATGGATGTCCACTCAGACTTATGGTCTCCTATACTCACATAATAACCTCTCCCTCCTAAGTATGACCTGAACCATTTTAGGACTATCCCAGAAAGCCAGACCCAGTTTTCCAGCCTGTCAAGAAGTATGTTGTGATCGACAGTGTCAAATGCAGCACTGATAATTTGCCTGTATAAATTATTTAAGCGAATATCGTTTATTATCTTTATGAGTGCTGTCTCTGTGCTGTGATGGTGTCGGAAACCA